ATCTCTGGATTAAGACCAGGCATCTCACTGTAGTTCCATGCAAATATGTCATGATACTCCCTTAAAAAGGAAATATATTGCCGAGCTTCTTCTTCCTTTAAATTTGCACTAATGAAGGTTGGTTTGTTTTCTCCTTGATCACATAGATTTACTTCATGAAGGTTATCCATGGTGGCTTGGCCTCCTGCTTCAAATTCTGTTGGTGCAGGTTGAGCTTCATCTTGGTCAACATCTTCCAACACATCTTGAGTGATAGTCATGTTTACTGGAAATTTTTCCTCATCCCCTTGATAGCCTAACCCTTCTGTCCTGGCGGTGATAATACCGCCTTGCTGGATAGCCTGCCTCTGTGAAGGTGTTAACGCAAAGTCAAGGGTGTCATTGTTCCTGGTATTTTTTCAGGATCTAAACCAACTTTTACCAACATCTGTGTGATTTCTGCACTGAAGGTAGGCTTCTCAAAACTCGAGATGTTTTCTTCTGGCATTTGTTCAATTTTCACTTTCTGTTCAACATCTCCAAGCGAGCGGAATATGATGGGTTTCGACCCTTTTCCTTTAGAAGGGACCACAATCTTATTATATTTTTCCACATAGGTGCATTCTGTCCTCCTTAATGGCAACGTGAACTCACCCTTGAGACCCAAAATTGGATTTATTGGGGCTAGAGCCTTTGCCCCTAGTTTCCTTTCGCACTTTGGCACATATCGAAAAGTTCTTTTTGTTGAAACTGGAGTAGACTCTAGAGCGTCTTTGACATTCGGAGTATCTTCAGACTTCTTCACATCTTTTCCCTTTCTTTGTGAAGTCTTTGTATAGAAGCGAGCATCAGCATAGTAGGCCTCTACTTCTCCAAATGGATCATTGTCAGCCATAATTGTCCCCTCTTTTTTGGGTGAAAGCAACGGGTACTTAATACATTGGTGATAAGTTGATGGCACTGCATGATGATTATGCATCCATGGTCTCCCAAGCAAAGCATTGTAAGAGGTGTCTACTTCAATAACCAAGAACTCAGTGCTTTCTTCAATATCCCCAAACTTGGTTTGTAATTCAATTTTCCCCATTGGGCGTTGCTCATTCTGATTAAATCCTTGAATGACCAAACGACTTGGGCGAAGTTGTGAAATTCGAACCCCTAATAAATTTAAGGCCCTCCGAGGCAGAAGGTTCACCGCAGATCCTCCATCAACGAGAATTCGAGAAATTTTCACATCATGGATAAGCCCAGTGATAAACAAAGGCCGATTATGGTCTATCATTTCAGCACACATGTCTTTGTCACCAAAAGTTACCATAGCCATGCATGTAGTTGCCTTCTCTTGATTTCTACCCTCAATTTCTTTGTGAAAATCCTCTGGCTTGGACAGGGCATATATTAAAGACTTTCGAAGCTTTGGAAACATTTTTAGTGCATCATATACGCTCAACAATGCTGGAATTTTCTTTAGATGAGCTAGTACATCATATTTCACTTGCTCTTCCTCCAGCAAAACTTGTGGAACTTCCGACGTTTGAGGGTCCTGAGGATTTCGTAATTTCCTCCGATAGGTCAAGTAAGTCTGGAATACTTCAGCAACCGCCTTTTCGTTGACATCAACTTCTTTTATTCCCTCACTTATTTGGACCATGTTAACTGGTCCAGCTGCAAAGCCTCAAATGTTCGATGATTTTTCTCAAATCTTCCACATGGTTTTCCTTTTCCTTTATCTTGACGACAAGATCATCAACATAGCATTCAATGGTGTCATGGAGCATATCACCAAAA